ATTATAATGGTGACAACCTTGCTCAAGTCGTCGAGGATGGTCGGTTATGCTGTGTTTGAGGGGAGCAGTGGGAAGAGGGGGCTGGTGGTGAGAAGAAGGTTCCCAGCGGCGGCGGTGGGGAGAGGAGTATGGGTGAGAAGAAGACAGCGACGACAAGAACCCCCCGTGACAGCCTACCCCCTTCCACCCCTCCCCGCACACCCCAGATCTCTAAACTAGCACACTTACCATCCATCATCGCGCCAGCAACGCGGCGAATCATCTCCTCACCAGCTCCACAAGCCCCTTTTGAAGTTGCCATGATGCCGTTCTTGTGATTGTGGGATGGGCGCTTCTTATCTGTCTACACTTGGTTAAACCCGGTACGTGTATGGGAGATTTTGGGGGGGATGGGGGGTATTGAAGGCTCTGGTCGTCCCTAGGGGAGGAGGGGATAGAGGAGTAATATGGGAGGATGCTGTTGTGATGATACTTCCAGTAGAGATAGAGAATATTAATATACACCACAACACCAATCCCCAACCACCGAGAAACCCCATCATCCGATCTACCCTCAGGAGTAATCCGCAGGCGCGAGCTATTTAACCCCCCTCCCCGCCCAACCCAGCTCGAAGCAAGCCAGCCAAAGATTCGTATATATGGATGCAGCCAAGGAAGGCAGTACGCTCGCAGGAGGGCTCGTGGATATCGGATTCTTCTCGCGACAGGAGCTCCAGACAACCGCCGTAGCACTTGCATATTTGCCAGCCTGGACGGGCGTGGGATGCATGCGGTGGTGAGAAAAGCGCGGTGGGGAGATGATGGCGGTGGTGAGAAGGCAGTGAGTGGTGACAGTACCATCGCAGTGACAGCACCACCCACACCACTCCCTCCCGCACACCCACCAACCCCCCCCAGCAATCTTCCACAGCAGTAACTAATCACCATCTCACTCTTGCGCAAGTCCTCGACATCTTGGCTGGAACTCGTTTAGGAGTTCTACTACGGACACAGGGTAGGACCGAGTGCTCTAGATACTTTTTATACAGTTTTATGGAGATGATATCTGGGGCGGGATGGGATACTGGACCCTGCTATCTGATCTGCGGGAGGGGTGAGGGGTATGCGGGGTGAGAGATGTTTTAACTGCTGTGGGCTTGGTGGATGATGATATGATAACCATCGTGCACCAACCACCAGATTCTTAGTACAGCAGTTGGTAAAAAACAGCCTGCCAGCCTGCCAGCCAGCCTCGCGGTCCTTTGCTGAATCATAAGCCAAAACACGCATTTCACTTAACATTCACACATACACATATTCACAGTACAGTCACAGTATAGAGAATCACAATAAAAGTTATACCACTCAATTACCCCTCTACCCCTCTACCCCTCTACCCCATCCCATATACCCCGACCATTTTTCACTACCCCCCCCTAAACCCCCAACAACGGGTATACCCAACCAACATCTCATCATCAATCAACACAAACCCCATTCCTCCTACCCCATAACCCATAAACAAAAGGAAATAACGACAGAAACGGAAGACATAGGAAAGCATATAACCCCTCACAACACATCGAGCTCGCAAGGTTGTCGACACAACAAACCGCCCCACTACACCGTCTCGAAAATTGACAATCCGTCGAGAACTCCCTACTCTCCCCTAGCCTTCTTCTTCCTCCCCTTCCCCTTATCCTCCTCCCCCCCCACCCCAGCCGCCGCAGCAATCTCCTCCCCCCTCTTACTAACCCTCTTCCTCTTCTTATCCGGGCTCCCCGCCTTCGCCGCACTACTCGGCACAATAGCCGCCGGTTCCGGCGCCGGCGTAATAACCTTCCCACCCACCTTCTTCCCCCTCGCCTTCCCCTTCGGCGTCGCCTTCACCGCCGCCGCAGCCTCCGGGCTCGACGGCAGACTAGCCGCATCCGCCGCGGGCAGATCAAGTAGGGATTCCGCATTAAGCTGATCGTTTGCCGAAATCTCCGCAGGGGCGGTGGAGATATTATGCGAGTCGGCGTAGACGCGCGCCTGGTCGTCTGTCATATCCTTCGCCTCCAAGATGCCCGATTTATACGCATGCGTGCGCGCATTATACAGACGCAGGTTCTCGGTATACACACCAGTCCAGAGACTCTTATCATGATCCTCCATATCCCTCCACCTCCTCACGCCCTCATTACTCACCGCGCCCTTCGCGACCTCGGGGCCGAGATCATTCGCGATGATCGGGCGCGCCGTTTGCATGTACAGGAAGTACGGGGTCAGCGGCCTCTTAGGCGCATTGGGGTCGTGGACGCGCTTCTTTTTCTCTTTTTTGGCGTCCGCGGCGGGGATGGCGGTGGCGGGGGTGGGGGCGCGGAAACCGGTGAGGCCGGCGAGGAGGGGGTTGTCGCCTAGGCGCGAGAGGGCGGATTCGACTTCCAGCCCGACGCCGGAGTTGTCGCCGAGGTAGGCGTTGGTGTGCTTGATGTAGGCGGAGGAGAGTGTTTGGATTGCGTCGGCGAGGGTGGCGAGGCCGGTTACTACCTGCGGGGGGGGGTTAGTGGTTGTACTGGTACTGATTAAAGTTTTTGATAAGGGTGGTGTAGTGAGATGAGATTGTGCAGTGATGTGGTGCAGGGGTAGTGGTGGTGGGGGTGGATTGTGGATGTGGGGGTGGTTGACGCGCTGGGTGGAGGATAAACAATGGACTACGCGTCGCGGGATGTGGATGGGGTTGATGTGTGAGCGAGCGAGGTCGGGTCGGGGAGGTGAAAGCGACCGGAGGTAGGCGAGCGAGCGCATCGTCGAGAAACCGTGGTGGCCGGCGCGCGCGGTGGAAATGACGCGCCGGCCCGGTGCTGGGGAATGCGCCGCGAGGTGATGTTGTGGTGAGGTGTTTCGCGCCGGAGTGTGTATCGGTCGGTGTCGCGCGCGCGCATTGTGACTCGCGGCGGGGTGGTGGTGGTGGTGGTTGCGACGATAGCGATGTGATGATGGGGTTGGGGGAGTGTGATGTGGTGATAACTGAAGAGAGAGAGTGTATGAACTTACCGAGTCTCTTGTGCGCACGAAGCTGTCGACGTCAATGGTCAAGGTGGCAGGACCTTCTCTGGCCTTCTCGGCATCGGCTTTCTTTTGGCGTGCCATAGTGATTGATTGATGGGTGTGTGGTGAGTGTGGTGGTGGTTGGTGATAATTGTGGTGATGGGGGAAGTGGTGGTGTTGTTGATGGAAGAGTCTAGTGGTTGATGGTGGATGACGGTGAAGCGGATGGTGCGCTGGAGATGATGAAGATTGAAAGGTTTGGGGGGGAAAGGAGGGGGTGATGAATTCTTTTTGGGGGGGGAGTGGCTGGGGTTTAATAGCGCAATGGCTGTTAGAGGTGGGCGTGTGAGTGGGTGTGAGTGGGTGATGGGTTGGTGGTGTGTTAGCGAGGTTACGTTAATGGGGTTAGCGAGTAACCAGCACCAGCAGAGTTTTCGCAGTGGGAGTGGGAGTGGGAGTGGGTGGTGTGGGCAGCAAACAGCGGGAGAGTCGGGGGACGGGGGAATTGGAATTTTGGGGGGAAGGGATTTGTATTTTTTGGGGGCATGTTTTGCTACGCGACGCGACCTGGCCAGTTGGGGGGGGGGTTGGGAGGGTTAGGAGTGTTTTGGGGGGGATGATGGGTGATAGGTGATGGTAGAAGGGTGGGTGTGAGACGAGAGGGGCCAAGGGAAGCTGGGTGGGTTAGAGGGAGGGAGTTTCTGTGTGTGTTGTGGGTGGTGGGTGGTGGGTGGTGGGTGGTGAGTGATTTCGCTGGGCTGGAGCGGGTAATTGGTACTGGTTTGGTACTGGTGCTAGTGTGTGTTTTGGTTTTGGTGTGATGTGATGGGGTGTGATGGGCGTGATGGGGGGGGTAAGTACCCGTTGTGTGTGAGAGCTGGCTGTTTGCTTGGTGGGTGGGTGAGTGAGTGGGTGCCTGGTAATGGGCTGGTTACAAGGCCTGGTCTGGGGCCTGGTCTGGGCCTGGTCTCTGCCTGGGTTTTGCGCCTGCTGGTTGGCTGTAGGGGAGGTGGCAGGGTGCAGTAGCGCTGCACCTCTCTCTAACGAGTAATCTGGTAATCTGCACCTGCACCTGCACCTGCTATCCTTTATAGGGCGTACTATAGGGCGTACTGTAAGTACTCGCTATACTCGTTACAGAGTTAGAGTGTTGTTAGAAGTGTTAGGAGAGGAGGGTTAGGAGTGTGTGGTACTCAACAGTCAGCTTCAGCTGCCCAGCTGTACCAGGTTGGCTGCGAGCTGATGACTGTGAGTACCACAGAACAGAGTACCAAACAGAGTACCACACTCTACGGGCTACCAGTACAACCACAGCACCCATCCATCTGTGCCAGTACCCTCAAGTATCTTTTTTCATGGGATGCAGTGTGGGTACAAGCAGTTCACACTCTGAGTCGCAGACTCAGAGTGTGCAGAGGGCAAAGACTGTGGTGCGCACTCTAAATAAACTGAACCCAGCACAAAAGGGCCGAACATCAGGACCATCGTAGGTCTCCGCTACCACTTCTATTACCGCCTTCCTACCGCCTTCCTTCCACCTTCTACCACAGATACCGACCCGACCCTGCCGTCGCTATCACCACCGTGCTCAAATGCCACTACAGGCGCCATGATATGCTGCGATATGCTGCGATATGCCCGCAACCACCAACCACCATGATCACTGACATGGCCAAAAAGTACAGTTTGTCAACTACAAGAACATCTACACCCACAGCACCCAACACCCAACACCCAACAACACCCCCAAAAGTAAATCGCACAAACCATCACGTGGCGCCTCCGTAACCTCCATCGTGCTACTCTACTTTTCTTCCTTCTTTCATGCACAGAGGAACATGTACGCAACACTGTCTCACCTCCCTCCCACCACCTGCACCCACCATCTCACATCCCTCCACTGAACCCTTCATCCCCTCCCTCCTCCCCTCACCTCTCGTCTTCAAATCCCCTACCGCCGCCAACGCAAAAAAAGGCAAAACGATAACTGCTCTCGGCAAGGCTCGAACTTGCGACCTTTGGATCACGTGATTGTTTATCAATGACGTCATATTCAACATATGAGACCAACGCTCTAGCCAACTGAGCCACGAAAGCTGTTTTTGATTGAGTGGCAGCCGCTTATGAGGGTTGATGAGGCGCGTGGCTGGGGGGGTCACGTGGAAAAGGCGGTGAGGTGAGGACATTGCCGTGTTCCCGCCTACTGCCGTATAGCGCGTACAGAAAGGATAGCTCCTGTGGCTTGTCCCCGGTTACACCCTAGCGTCCCGTTGAACCCTGATTGGTCTCAGTCCCCCTGGACCCCGAAACGCGAGGCGCAGCTGGACAGGGCAGTAGCGCTGAGGTATGCGCCAGTAGCAATCCTGTATGCTTCGGTATTACTCCAGTCATGCTCCAGTTATGCTCCAGTTATGCTCCAGTTATGAAGCTTAGCTGCTACTATGCTCGTATAGTTGACACCTGAATTCTCAGATCTGTTACTCTGTAGAGTTACCCCTCTATGTACTCTACCCCTCTCTCACACTCTTACACATACCTCTCCTTGTACCCTCGTATCCTCCTACTCTTCCCACTCCCACATAAACTATAAACTCTACTTCATTAAAGTCGCTTCTTCATCTCCATCCTCATATATTTCTAGCTTCGTGGCATTGTCACAGCTTCACTCTCTCTCCTATAACACATCACTTCTATACCTATATACAATACAGCTGCATCTAACTGCAGCTCCACGACTGGCTTCTATCTGCTGTTTACCCCTCGATCCCAACAATAGCTAACCAGCTATCCAACCTCAACATGCCTTCCTTCCACTTCCCAAACCTGGCCATCGCCGTCGCTCTGCTTGTCCTTTTCGCTCGTCCCGCTCATGCTTTTGGCGCAGGTATGCCTTCTGTTGATCCGTCTCATCGAGCCATGAACTGACAGACACAGGTAACATCGCTTCGACCTCAGCTATTGAGGGCACAAATTGTACGTGTCAACCACCAACCCTCAAGATCAACATACTAACTATACCAGGGCGTCATGGCGATATCGAAGATACCCTCCTCCTCCTTGCCATGTCTCGCGCTGCGGGAGGCAAGAAGTTTGATAAAATGAGCGTTTCCCGTGTTTACTTTGGTAACTGGCTGAGAGACTACTGTGCGTACTTCACCCACCTCACCTCACAACCCCTTCTAACCCACTCCTTCCAGCCCAGGCTATTGATGTCGGCACCGTCAAGTACGTCTCCGCCGAGGCTATCCGCATTCTCCTCTGGGTTCTCGGTTTCATGACTTTCGGCTACGGCACCGGCGAGTTCGAAGTCACCGCCGAACGCCTTGGCTGCTACCGCCCCGAAGACCACATCGACAACCCAAAAGACTACGCCGATAACCTTGATGCTACCCAGTACGACCGTCGCCTGCGTGGCCCCGTCGATGAGCGTGTCGAACTGGCAATCGATCAGCGACGTGGCATGAAAAACTATATCGCGAGCGAGGAGATTGGAATTACCACGTCTGCTGGCCATGTCCGAAACCTATTCTCGAGATGCATTCAACTCGGACGATCCTATGGGCGCAGCAAGAACAAGGATGAGCTGTATGAGGCTCTTCGTCTTCTCGGAACCGGTCTGCACTGTTTGGAAGATTTCAGTGCTCACTCCAACTACATCGAGCTTGCTCTCATCGAGATGGGCGAGACCGACGTGTTCCCACTGGTTGGCCGCAACACTCAGATCCGTCTTCAAGGTGCCCGCTCTGCGGTGTACCCTCTCGTGACCGGTACTTTCGGCGGTGTCGACTTCCTCCACTCTGTCATGGGTGAATTCGATGACAAGGCCACCCAGAGCGAAATCCAGCAGCTCGAGGGGACCATGGAGAATGGCAAGAATGCCGACACGAGCTTCCTGAGGGATATTCTTAACAAGATCCCTAGCGGAATCTTTGGTGACGATGACGAGGCTGGAAAGGCCGAGGAGCTCCGAACCAACGCGACTACCGCCCAGATGAACCAGGTCCGCGTGTCTCCCAGAGAGCCCGAGGCCTTTACTCGCCAGATGCAAGAGTGCGTCAAGCAGATCTACCCCATCATCGAGTGGCACGACAACCTCATGAAGAAGATCTCCAGCGCCATCGAGAAGATCCCCATTCTCCCAGAGCTGATCGAGCAACTCGAGAACCAGGTCAACATCTTCGTCTTCAGCCTGTTAGCCCCCTTCGTCCTCCCCCTCATCAACCAGATGAAGAACGAGCTCAACGAGGGCTCCTCCGAGATCATCAACAGCAGCAAGGCCCAACAGCACAACGTCTTCCAAGACGACCAAAGCTCCGACCCAACCCACTCCATGCTCTCCAAGGACCACTTCAGCAGCATCCTCAACGAACCCGCCGGCAAAATCTCCAGCGGCGTCCTCAAATGGGTCGTCCCGCAACTCATCGCCTGCTGGGACGACGAGCGCCAGGACATCGACCGCACATGCACCCGCATCATCGAGGGCGTCCTCCACCACCCCGCACTCCGCCACGAGGGCCAGGACGGCGCCTCCGACGGCCGCCAGCAAATGTTCGCTGTCGTAGAGCAGTGGTGGTCCTCCAAGGGCTCGGCTGAGCAGCGCGAGCTCCGCGGGAAGCTGAGCCGTAGCGGCATTCAGAACGGGGAGAACCACAAGGAGGGCGTTGTGGACACGGGACACGGATGCTGCAAGCCTATCGGCATGGCTAAGAGCGGCGCCGGCCAGGGCGCGGGGGGCGGCGGCATGATCTCCGATCTTGTTGGCGCGCTCTCGGGTGGCCAGGAAGCTGCTTCCGCGGGCTCGGGCTACGGTCGCCCGACTAAATCGTCCAACTCCGAGATCGAGAAGTTCGCCTCCGAGGCAGCGGGCGGTGGAGCCCTCGGCGGCATCGTCGGCGCACTCGCGGGTGGCATTGGGGGGGGTCTCCTCAGCGACGTCTTCGGCGACAAGGATACCAAGAAGACTGCTCAGAGATACGAGTCCGGCGACGGCGGCGTGACGCAGTCCTACACCGAGTACGGCAGCAACTCGCACGAGACGGCGCAGGCGCAGTATTCCGAGACGAAGTACCCGAGCGGTGCGCAGACGTCTGAGTACGGTCGCTACGAGCAGTCGCAGTCCGGGCAGTCGTATGAGGGACACGTGCAGAGACAGCAGCAGAGGGGGAATGAGGTTAGGACTGAGGAGTGGCGCCATGGGCGCACGGAGGGGGGGCAGGAGTATCAGACGGAGGTTAAGACGAAGGAGTATCATAGTGGTGGGGGACGGGGGAGGAAGGATTCGGATGATGATGATTCGGGGGATGATTCGGATTATAAGAGGAAGAAGAGGGAGAAGAAGGAGAAGAAGGAGAGGAAGAAGAGGGAGGAGAGGGAGCGCGAGCAGCAGCAGCAGTATTCGGGCGGCTATGGAGGCGGTGGTGGTGGTGGATACGGACAGCAAGAGTCTCGCCACGAGGAGCGCAGCAGTGGATACGGGGAGCAGCGCCAGGAACAGCGTCAGGAGTACGGCGGTGGTGGTGGGTACGGACAACAGGAGTCTCGTCACCAACAGCGCCAGGAATACGGCGGTGGTGGTGGAGGCGGGTATGAAGAGCCGCGCCGTGAGCAGCGCCAGGAGCAGCAGTATGGCGGTGGTGGTGGTGGGGGGTATGGACAGGAGTCTCGTCGTGAGGAGTATGGTGGTGGTGGCGGGGGTGGTTATGGACAGGAGTCTCGTCGTGAGGAGTACGGCGGCGGTGGAGGCGGGGGTGGATATGGACAGGAGTCTCGTCGTGAGGAGTACGGCGGCGGTGGAGGCGGTGGTGGATATGGACAGGAGTTCCGTCGTGAGGAGTACGGCGGCGGTGGAGGCGGTGGTGGATATGGACAGGAGTTCCGTCGTGACGAGTACGGCGGCGGCGGCGGTGGTGGATATGGACAAGAGTCCCGCCGCGAGCACCACGGGGGGAGGAGGGATGAGGAGGATGAGCGTAGGGGTGGGGGTAGGGGAGGGTATGGGGAGGAGGGGAGGGATTATGGGAGGGGGGATGAGTATGGAGGGGGGAGGAGGTATTAGGGTGTGAATGATGGGGGTGTTTATGGGTGATGATTGTTATGGTGGTTGATGATGGGTATGGCGGTTGATGATGGTTTGAAGATTGATGGTTATGGGTGATGATGTCGATAGTCAAAAGATTGTTACAGCAGGATGAAGAAAATTAAAACCTCTCGTTGACTTTTTTCTAGACCCTGATCCCAACCCCATGCGTCGTTGATAATAGCCACCCCCTTCAGCCTCAATACACCCCAGCTCTCAGGCCCCAAATTTACCCCTCCCCAGCCTCCAGCTCCAGGGCGGATATAAAAAAATTACCATCCTCGTACCACGTGTAAAAAGGCTATAATGGCAGGATATGATAATGAATGTCACATATATCCCAACTATCGATCTAGAAAGTGCGTTCAATTTGTGGCTTGCTCCAATGAGTATCCTGGTCTAATTCAGATCCTGGTGCGGTGCGTGCTTTAGTCCTAATTTTCCGGCTTGGGGGCCGTGGAGGTGGGTGTAAGCACAACAATAGAGGACGCGGTGTAGTAAATTAAAATAGTAGTATTTAAGGACGCGTTGATCCCCCACTTTCTAGGCTGGAATGGAAATAGGAAGCCATTGGGATTCTTACGTCGTCGTTATAGAGGTGTGGATGTGAAAATGATGTTCTCCCACCCATCCCCGTCGAAAGTGCTTGGAGTCGTAGTGCTCACACACGCCTTCTTCTCCTCTACTGTCGGAGCTCAGGATGCTGTTTGTGAGTAAAACAATTTAACAACAACATTTCCCGACTTCGCGCAGAAACTGATATTTTAAAAACTAGCTGTAGATCTCGAGACTTTAGCGCCTGCTGCGGCTGTTGTGGATGGGGCGCAATTGTTTCCGAGTGAGAGGGTGCAGTTGACTGATGCCGTCTTGGCCAATTTAACATCCCTCGGCATCGACACCTCCCTCTTCGCCTTCGGAACCCCCTCCTCCTCCTCCTCCACCGCCGACAAGCGCACAGAGAAGGGTAAATGTAAAGTCTTCCCCGGCGACGCGGCGTGGCCTTCTGCGCCGGTGTGGAAGT